CCTACAAAATTAATATTATGTTTTAATCATGTCACAGATGTCAGACTGGTTCCACCATGCTAACCTCCTCATACCAACGTGGGTGGAAACTAAAGGGGTAGTAATGCAGCCAATTCCCCCTGCAGGTCTGCTTGGTTCATCTTTTTGTCCAGTGGAGAAAAATAAGGTGCCTACAGTGGGGGCTACATGAATGATCAGGGCTATGCTAGCTAAGAGGCACCAATTTCATCCCCTCTGTCATGCAATAGCACCTACCTGACTTGCAAATTGGGGAAAAAAACTGTAATTTGGAAGAACTGACTGAGCAAGGGCACCATTCGGATACCCCAATTAATCATGGGTGCGGGCTTTGTCTCTTTTCTAACAGAGCAACGTTATGACCTGCCACCCTCTGCAGAGGGTCAGTACCTACAGCTAAAACACTTGCTAACATATCAATTTGGTCCGGATGCCCTAGGACATGCCAGAGGCTCCAGAGCTACTGGGAACCTTGGAAACACTTCACACACTCCCCACGCCCATATGCCCTACGTATGCTTTACTAACGATGAGGAACTCCACTGGTGTGGAGTTGCTTGTGAAAGGATGGGAAGGGGAGTTATCACAGCCCTGAAAAGAACCCCATTGGCAGAGCAATATTACAGAACATTAAAAATGCTTCTGTGGTTTGCAGGCTATGCCTGACACAGCAATAGATTCTATTCCAAGTATATTGGACACCACACAGATTGTGCAAGATGGGGGCCTTGTCCTCTCGTGTTTGTTGGCACTGTAATAACAAAAAAGGCACCCTGATGCCTATACTATGGGACTGTCCAATAGCCAGCCAGCTGGGGAAAGAGGGGGACACAAGAATGAAAACAGTGCTTGCTTCAGCAACCAAAACTCAGCTGATAATTATATCCTAGTATATCCTACTACACTGGGTTTAATGCCACTGCAAAGACTCTGGTAATTGAGGGCTTCTATGATTACCAAGGGCATAATTTTACAAAAACGGAGGAGTAGCCTTATGCCTAGAATAGAACAGTGGCATTTGGACCTGTCTGAGTTAGCAGCAAAAGAAAGACTAGCTCAAGGATCGGCAACATTTGGCCTATCCGGAAAATCTGCTGGCGGGCCAGGACGGTTTGTTTACCTTCCGCGTCCGCAGGTTCAGCCGATCGCAGCTCCCACTGGCCGCAGTTTGCCATCCCAGGTCAATGGGGGCTGCAGGAAGTGGCGGCCAGCACATCCCTTCACCCGTGCCACTTCCCTCAGCCCCCATTGGCCTGGAACAGTGAACTGCGGCCAGTGGGAGCTGCGATCGGCTGAACCTGTGGACACTGCAGGGAAACAAAACGTCCCAGCCCGCCAGTGGATTTCCCTGATGCACCGTGTGCCAAAGGTTGCCAGTCCCTGAGCTATTTTATCAATGTAGAGAGCAATTATACAAATTCAAAGAAGTTTGGACCCTGTTTCTTGATACACTTGGATAAAGAATGCTGAAATAGCTCAAATAATGCCAGACTTCCATTGCCCCTAACCTCTCTGCTTTTTCCCTCCCTCTTCCTGCCCCCATCTCTTTCTTCCCTTTTTTGCCTATTTGTGTATGTCTTTATATATATTGTTACTCCCACTCTACCATGTTATATCTGTGTAATATTGCCTGATTTTGCAATATCTGGTCTTGCAGCTTTGGCAAGTTGTCAAGTTGCATAAATGTATCATTTTATTGGATATTCTGCGAAATGTGCAGCATTTGGTAATATATACAAGCTGTACATCATTTACCTTATATTTTTGTTGTTTGCTTCTTTATGAAAATTAATAAAAAATTAATCTAAAAATATAAAAAGGGCAAAGTATTACTTTAAATCATGGGGAGGCAGAGAAGCAGAAGAGAGAGGGCAAAGAAACCCATGTGTGGTTTCAGGAAGTGCTCATTAGAAGAAGCAAAAGTAGGGAAGTTCTTTGGCAGTCTGCATTACAGTCTGTGTCACATTTGCTTATTACTGTTGTTTATCTGTCTTTTCATGAAGCTCCAGAAAAGAATAAACACCATGGGGTTTCTTTCCAGCCCTGTGGAAGCTGGGAACACTGCAAAAGCAGGGAAGAGAAAAGAAGGGCCCTCACATCCCTCAGCAAATTGACCTTCTGACCAGTTTATAAGGAGTGGACTGACTAATTCCTCTGCCAGAACAAGGTCTCAACCTTGAGGATGTATATAGCTGGGGCAAAAGTGGGATGGGGCATGGTATATTCTCTGGCTTCCCAAGAACGTACACAAAAGGGGGTTGCACCAAACAGGGACCCACACAATACACAGGAAAAATAATCCCAGTGGTTTCCAGCCAATCACTTGTGTTTTGGTCTTTTGGCAGTTCCCTCAGGAGGCAAGTTAATACATCATTTATTATCTTTGAAGATTTCAGGCTGATGGGTGATTAAGTGAGACTAACATGCAGCTCAACCCAAAACCTGAAGGAAATGTCAACTGACTAGACCTGCATCAGATTCATGCGGCCTAGCCCTCACTAGTAAAGGAAAAATTATCCTGTGTCTGCTCTGACCACTGACAGTGTGCAGATATGTTTTCTTAATGGTACTCTGGACATGTTTATTTATCCATGCTCAGGTCTGGATCTTTGTTTTCCCACATCTGTTTTCAAGAGGATTATCTTTCACTGAGTTGTTGCTTTTTGAAGTCATACAAACCACACAAGTAGCATTTTCAGAGTGGTAGCCATGTTAGTCTGTAACAGCAAAAAAAATGAGGAATACTTGTGACACCTTAGAGACTAACAAATTTATTTGGACATAAGCTTTCATGGGCTAAAGCCCACTTCATCAGATGCATGCAGTGGAAAATACAATTGGAAGATATAGATATAGATATAGATATATAGATATAGATATACACACAAAGAGAACATGAAAAAATGGGTGTTGCCATACCAACTCTAACAAGACTAATCAATTAAGGTGGGCTATTATCAGAAGGAAAAAAAATTTTGTAGTGACAATCAGGATGGCCCATTTCAAACAGTTGACAACAAGGTGTAGTAACAGTAGGGAGCAAATTACCATGGGGAAATAGTTTTTACTTTGTGTAATGACCGATTCACTCCCAGTCCTTATTCAAGCCTAATTTAACGGTGTCCAGTTTGCAAATTAATTCCAATTCTGCACTTTCTCGTTGGAGTCTGTTTTTGAAGTTTTTTTGTTGAAGAATTGCAACTTTTAGGTAGGTCTGTAATTGAGTGACCAGGGAGGTTGAAGTGTTCTCCAACCGGTTTTTGAATGTTCTAATTCTTGACATCTGATTTGTGTCCATTTATTCTTTTGCGTAGACACTGTCCGTTTTGGCCAATGTACATGGCAGAGGGGCATTGTTGGCATATATCACATTGGTAGATGTGCAGGTGTATGAGCCTCTGATAGTGTGGCTGATGTGATTAGGTCCTTTGATGGTGTCCCTTGAATAGATATGTGGACAGAGTTGGCAACTGGCTTTGTTGCAAGGATAGGTTCCTGGGTTAGTGTTTCTGTTTTTGCCGCTGACTTGAAGGTATACATTGTCCCCAAATCTGAAATAGTTGTGGGTGAGGACGAAGTCACAAAGTTCAGCCACCAGGTTTGCCATGACATTATCGGGGATACTGTTCCTGATGGCTTGTAGTCCATCTATGTGTGGAATGTTGGTGTAGAGGGCTTCTACATCCGTAGTGGCCAGCATGGTGTTTTCTGGAAGATCACCAATGGACTGTAGTTTCCTCAGGAAGTCAGTGGTGTCTTGAAGAAAGCTAGGAGTGCTGGTAGCGTAGGGCCTGAGGAGAGAGTCTACATAGCCAGACAATCCTGATTGACAGAGTGAGAAGACTATCCAGAAGTCACCTACTACAGGACAGGTCCAACGAAGAAAGTAACATAAAGCCACTAGCCGTCATCTTCAGCCCCCAACTAAAACCTCTCCAGTGCACCATCCAGGATCTACAACCTATCCTGAAGGACAACCCATCACTCTCACAGATCTTGGGAGACAGGCCAGTCCTTGCTTACAGACAGCCCCATAACCTGAAGCAAATACTCACCAGCAACCACACACCACACAACAGAACCACTAACCCAGGAACTACACCTTGTTGTCAACTGTTTGAAATGGGCCATCCTGATTGTCACTACAAAAGTTTTTTTTCTCCTGCTGATAATAGCCCACCTTAATTGATTAGCCTTGTTAGAGTTGGTATGGCAACACCCATTTTTTCATGTTCTCTGTATATATATATATATATATATATATCTTCCAATTGTATTTTCCACTGCATGCATCTGATGAAGTGGGCTTTAGCCAACAAGTAACATGGTGGAGAAAGGTTACTTTCCCATTAGAATCAAGTCATTCTCAGCCGCCTTTCTCTACCAGTCCTCTACAAATGTAAATGTCTCACTTTATGGTTCTGGGTGGAATGGTCATAACATTCACTAGAAGACAGAGAAACAGATTACAAAACCAAACCCCAAACCAATAAGAAAGTGGGCTAGTCTTATCCTGGAGGCAGTTCCACTGAAGTCACTGGAGTTACTCTAGGGATGACCTGGCCCTGTATCTTCAGTAAATCTATGTAATGCACAGAATAACTAGCAATGCCATAATGTTCCCAAATACAAATGTAATGCTGACTTATAATACAGTATAGCATAGCTGTACCTCGCTCCCTCCTTACACGGCCAGGTAGTGTACACATGGGATGGGGGATAAGGAGCCTCACCTCCTCGCCCATGTGCAATATGCATAAAGGCCACCTAGGGGCTGCTACAGAGTGGCTCCCAAGGGACGTAACCCATAAGGAGGATGGGAGTATACAGAGCATGTATACTCCCCTCCCACACACACACAGCTGGCCAGCTGTGCCTGCTTCCCTCAAAACAAGACTTAGGCTTTGTGCCTAAGCCCTGGTCTACACTAGGACTTTAGGTCGAATTTAGCAGCGTTAAATCGATGTAAACCTGCACCCGTCCACACGATGAAGCCCTTTATTTCGACTTAAAGGGCTCTTAAAATCGATTTCCTTACTCCACCCCTGACAAGTGGATTAGCGCTTAAATTGGCCTTGCCGGCTCGAATTTGGGGTACTGTGGACACAATTCGATGGTATTGGCCTCCGGGAGCTATCCCAGAGTGCTCCACTGTGACCGCTCTGGACAGCACTCTCAACTCAGATGCACTGGCCAGGTAGACAGGAAAAGAACTGCGAACTTTTGAATCTCATTTCCTGTTTGGCCAGCGTGGCAAGCTGCAGGTGACCATGCAGAGCTCATCAGCACAGGTGACCATGATGGAGTCCCAGAATCGCAAAAGAGCTCCAGTATGGACCGAACGGGAGGTACAGGATCTGATCGCTGTTTGGGGAGAGGAATCCGTGCTATCAGAACTCCGTTCCAGTTTTCGAAATGCCAAAACCTTTGTCAAAATCTCCCAGGGCATGAAGGACAGAGGCCATAACAGGGACCCGAAGCAGTGCCGCGTGAAACTTAAGGAGCTGAGGCAAGCCTACCAGAAAACCAGAGAGGCGAACGGTGGCTCCGGGTCAGAGCCCCAAACATGCCGCTTCTATGATGAGCTGCATGCCATTTTAGGGGGTTCAGCCACCACTACCCCAGCCGTGTTGTTTGACTCCTTCAATGGAGATGGAGGCAACAAGGAAGCAGGTTTTGGGGACGAAGAAGATGATGATGATGATGAGGTTGTAGATAGCTCACAGCAAGCAAGCGGAGAAACCGCTTTTCCCGACAGCCAGGAACTGTTTCTCACCCTGGACCTGGAGCCAGTACCCCCTGAACCCACCCAAGGCTGCTTCCTGGACCCGGCAGGCGGAGAAGGGACCTCCGGTGAGTGTACCTTTTAAAATACTATACATGGTTTAAAAGCAAGCATGTGAAAGGATTACTTTGCCCTGGCATTCACGGCTCTCCTGGATGTACTCCCAAAGCCTTTGCAAAAGGTTTCTGGGGAGGGCAGCCTTATTGCGTCCTCCATGGTAGGACACTTTACCACTCCAGGCCAGTAACACGTACTCGGGAATCATTGTACAACAAAGCATTGCAGTGTATGTTTGCTGGTGTTCAAACAACATCCGTTCTTTATCTCTCTGTGTTATCCTCAGGAGAGCGAGATATAAATCATGGTCACCTGGTTGAAATAGAGTGCTTTTCTTCAGGGGACACTCAGAGGAGCCCGTTCCTGCTGGGCTGTTTGCCTGTGGCGAAACAGAAATGTTCGCCGCTGTTAGCCACGGGGGGGGGGGGGTTTGAGGGGGTAGCCACGTGGTGGGGGGAGGCAAAATGCGACCTTGTAACGAAAGCACATGTGCTATGTATGTAATGTTAACAGCAAGATTTACCCTGAAAGAGTGTAGCCACTGTTTTATAAAATGTGTCTTTTTAAATACCGCTGTCCCTTTTTTTTCTCCACCAGCTGCATGTGTTTCAATGATCACAGGATCTTCTCCTTCCCAGAGGCTAGTGAAGATTAGAAAGAAAAAAAAATGCACTCGAGATGAAATGTTCTCCGAGCTCATGCTGTCCTCCCGCACTGACAGAGCACAGACGAATGCGTGGAGGCAAATAATGTCAGAGTGCAGAAAAGCACAAAATGACTGGGAGGAGAGGTGGCGGGCTGAAGAGAGTAAGTGGCGGGCTGAAGACAGGGCTGAAGCTCAAATGTGGCGGCAGCATGATGAGAGGAGGCAGGATTCAATGCTGAGGCTGCTGGAGGACCAAACTAGTATGCTCCAGTGTATGGTTGAGCTGCAGCAAAGGCAGCTGGAGCACAGACTGCCACTACAGCCCCTGTGTAACCAACCGCCCTCCTCCCCAAGTTCCATAGCCTCCACACCCAGACGCCCAAGAACACAGTGGGGGGGCCACCGGCCAACCAGCCACTCCGCCACAGAGGATTGCCCAAAAAAAGAAGGCTGGCATTCAATAAATTTTAAAGTTGTAAACTTTTAAAGTGCTGTGTGGCATTTTCCTTCCCTCCTCCACCACCCCTCCTGGGCTACCTTGGTAGTCATCCCCCCTTCTCTGATGCGTACCGCGCCCTCCTGTGCTCTTCTAACCACCCTGGTGTCTGGCTGCACGTAACCAGCAGCCAGGCGATTTGCCTCAACCTCCCACCCCGCCATAAACGTCTCCCCCTTACTCTCACAGATATTGTGGAGCACACACCAAGCAGTAATAACAGTGGGAATATTGGTTTCGCTGAGGTCTAAGTGAGTCAGTAAACTGCGCCAGCGCGCCTTTAAACGTCCAAAAGCACATTCTACCACCATTCTGCACTTGCTCAGCCTGTAGTTGAACAGCTCCTGACTACTGTCCAGGCTGCCTGTGTACGGCTTCATGAGCCATGGCATTAAGGGGTAGGCTGGGTCCCCAAGGATACATATAGGCATTTCAACATCCCCAACAGTTATTTTCTGGTCTGGGAATAAAGTCCCTTCCTGCAGCTTTTGAAACAGACCAGAGTTCCTGAAGATGCGAGCGTCAGCTACCTTTCCCGGCCATCCCACATTTATGTTGGTGAAATGTCCCTTGTGATCCACCAGAGCTTTCAGCACTATTGAAAAGTACCCCTTGCGGTTTATGTACTCGGCGGCTTGGTGCTCCGTTGCCAAGATAGGGATATGGGTTCCGTCTATGGCCCCACCACAGTTAGAGAATCCCATTGCAGCAAAGCCATCCATTATGACCTCCACATTTCCCAGGGTCAGTACCCTTGATATCAGCAGATCTTTGATTGCGTGGGCTACTTGCATCACAGCAGCCCCAACAGTAGATTTGCCCACTCCAAATTGATTCCCAACTGACCGGTAGCTGTCTGGCGTTGCAAGCTTCCACAGGGCTATCGCCACTCGCTTCTCAACTGTGAGGGCTGCTCTCATCTTGGTATTCATGCGCTTCAGGGCAGGGGAAAGCAAGTCACAAAGTTCCATGAAAATGCCCTTACACATGCGAAAGTTTCGCAGCCACTGGGAATCATCCCAGACCTGCAACACTATGCGGTCCCACCCGTCTGTGCTTGTTTCCCGAGCCCAGAATCGGCGTTCCACAGCATGAACCTGCCCCATTAGCACCATGATGCATGCATTGGCAGGGCCTATGCTTTCAGAGAAATCTGTGTCCATGTCCTGATCACTCACGTGACCGCGCCGACGTCGCCTCCTCGCCTGGTATCGCTTTGCCAGGTTCTGGTGCTGCATATACTGCTGGATAATGCGTGTGGTGTTTAATGTACTCCTAATTGCCAAAGTGAGCTGAGCGGCCTCCATGCTTGCCTTGGTATGGCGTCCGCACAGAAAAAAGGCGCGGAACGATTGTCTGCCGTTGCTCTGACGGAGGGAAGGGCGACTGATGACATGACTTACAGGGTTGGCTTCAGGGAGCTAAAATCAACAAAGGGGGTGGCTTTACATCAAGGAGTATTTCAGGCAGGACTTCACGGAGGGTTCCAATAAGAAATGGTGCACCTAAGTTATTGTTCTTATTGGAACAAGGAGGTTAGTCTGGCCTCTGATTGATACATGGCTAGATTTACCTCGCTGCACCTTCCCTGTGAGTGACTGCAGTTTGACCTAGAGGAATAAGTCCCCTAGACGGGGGAGGAGGCAAATGAGTACAAAACAAATCTGCTCTATTTCTTGTTTTGATCCACTCCATCTATCTTTTACATCTTTGGCTGGCAGCAGACAATGCAGAAGGACTGCATGCCATCCACATCTCATGGCTGCTCGGCAGAAGATGGTGCAATAGGACTGCTAGCAATCCGTATCGCCTGCCTGCTCACCATAAGACGGTTCAATAGGACTGACTGCAGGACTAAAGAGAATGACCTGGTCAAGTCATCCAAATTTAGTCCCTGTGCCCATGTCTGCCCAGGCGCTCGTGGCCGACGTGGCCAGGAGCACCTCGGACATGACGATGACGGCTACCAGTCGTACTGTACCATCTGCTGCCACAAGGCAAGGGGTTGCTGCTACTGTGTAGCAATGCCGTACCGCGTCTGCCAGCACCCAGGAGACATACGGTGACGGTTACCTGAGCGGGCTCCATGCTTGCCGTGGTATGGCGTCTGCACAGGTAACTCAGGAAAAAAGGCGCGAAACGATTGTCTGCCCTTGCTTTCACGGAGGGAGGGAGGGAACGGGGGCCTGACGATATGTACCCAGAACCACCCGCGACAATGTTTTAGCCCCATCAGGCATTGGGATCTCAACCCAGAATTCCAATGGGCAGCGGAGACTGCGGGAACTGTGGGATAGTTACCCACAGTGCAACGCTCCAGAAGTCGACGCTTGCCTCGGTACTGTGGAAGCACTCCGCCGAGTTAATGCACTTAATGCACTTAGAGCATTTTCTGTGGGGACACACACACTCGAATATATAAAACCGATTTCTAAAAAACCGACTTCTATAAATTCAACCTTATTCTGTAGTGTAGACATACCCTAAGAGGCACACCCACTGAGAGGAGAATACACCCCACAAAGGATTTAGTCATCATGCATTGCTGCACTATCAGGTAGTTCCAGAAAATTACACACATGGGTGTTTAAGCACTGATCCAAAGCCTCCAGTGATTTGAACGGACTTCCAATCAGGCCCTTCGTGAGCAATGGTTTGCATTCTGTCCTGTTACTAGTATGTTGGGATCCCTTTTGAAGGCAACTACTAGGCTAAATATAATGATTTGGAAATACTGGAATGTAAACAACTGAATCTCCCGTTATTTAACTTGGATGTCTAGGACAGAGAAAAAAATGACCAATCCCAGGCTTTGAACACCTTTAAATCACCCTTCCTTATCATAAGTTATTTATTTTTTCCTTTCAGCCAATGAACTGTATTTCTAGGTAGAAAAAGGATTTTTGGAAAACCCTTCCCTTTGCTTGTTGGCAGAGTTCATTTGTTTTTATGTATGGCATAAATACTCCTATAAGAGATTACAACTCCAATAACTCCAGCCTGCCAGCAATGCTGTCTTATTTGATCATGAAGTGACTGTCTCTCCCATTTAGGTCACCACAATAGACAGAAAGGAATGACACACACACACACCAAGCACACGGGCACACACAGAAACATGCCACAACCTACTGGCAACTTGATTGAATGTAAAAATAAATCCTATCTGGTTTTGTTCTTTTATCCTAATCTTTAATTTCCCTTGTACATTTTCTATCATAAAGCAGACAGTAAGTAGCTATGGAACACAGATTTCATAATTCTTTAAAGAGCAGGCAAGTCTCTCATTTTTTGTTTTTATCATAGGCTTCTATAATTATTCTGTATTTAAAAATTAGTTAACCATGCTTCACTTCCCGCTGTCTCCATTTTACAATAATATTTTGTGTCAAATAAGAGATCAGATGAACACAGCTAATAAACAATTAATATAACAACAACAAAACATTGCCCAGTGCAGTTGCTCTTTGTTAACTTGTTGGGGACACTGGGGCATGGCCACTAGGTAACTCGAGGGAATAAAAGACCACAAGTGTCAATGAAGCCCCCTCGCACTAGGCCCAAGTGTCCTTGCCCCCTCCCCCCCCCCGCCTGGAGGCACTCGCAGCAGCTCTGCGTACTAGGCCCAAGTGTCCTTGGCCCCCCCAGCCTGGAGGCACTCACAGCAGTTATGCTAAGGATCTGCACTAAATATGTTGCACAGTCAAACTGCCTAAAACTAAACAAAAGCCAAACAGAGCAAATAGAAAAAAAAATGCTAAATAAAGCAGCTTTATGTATAGTTTAACAAATAATACAAAAAACAAGGAAACTAGCTGGTAACTGAATTAGCTGGCTATATAAATACTTAGGGCAGCTTGCTATTAAATAAGTATGCTAAAAAAAAAATTTATAAAAGCCTATGTAACTTCCTGCTCTGGGTGCAGGATTTGAGATTCTATTCTCCCTGTACCTTTTTAAAGCTTCAAATAAACTCTTCTGCTTCTCCACCCCGTTGTGATTATTGGGTAAAGCACACCGGGTAGCGAACCAACCCCTGCTGTTGTTTTGCGTCTTGGCACTGGGTGCCAGCAACAGCTTTTGGCATCCCTGGGTGGGCAACGAGGCTGCTATTTAGCCTTGCCCGGACCCCTCCTGGAGGTCGAGGATTGAGGCGAGAACCGACGCCCAGCACGCACCGGTGAGTTCATTGGGGGCCTCGGCGGAGACGCGATTTGATCGACTCCAGAGGGCACAACAGTGCAACGCATTCATATAGTGGAGAAACAGCTGTGGATGACGGTGAGGAACCGGTCCCTTGGATAAGGTAGGAACCTTTTGAAATCCGGATTGTATGCTCTGTTGGAACCTGGGGACGCCCAGAGTTACCCTGTAGGTATGGGACAGGGACAGAGCTCAGGGGTTAGGGCACGGTGTACGCCCCTAGAGTGCATTCTAGCAAACTGGAAGGTATTTGGTGCGGATCCGATGACTAAGAGCCAATTAAAATGATTCTGTACAGTTGACTGGCCTCAATATCAACTGGGGGACCAGGAATGGTGGCCACCAGGAGGGTCAATTAATTACAATACAATCCTCCAATTAGTTTTGTTTTGTCAGTGAATGGGTAAATGGAATAAACATTTGTATGCACAACCGTTTAAGGCTTTAAGAAATAGAACAGAGTTGTAATTCTGCAGAGCTGTAATTTGACTCTGACTGGTTCAGTAGTAGCTAATGTTAGTCCCCAGACCCCCACCCCCACTGTAATGGCAGAGCCGGTGACCCCTTTGGCCCCCACAGCCCCACCTTATAAGGGTAGGATGCCTCGGGTTACAGAGATTGCCCCCTCGGTGGGACTCTATCCTTTGCTTACCGAGACTGTTGTGGCTTGCCCAGGGGCAGAGGGACGTCAGGCTACCACTATGCAAGTTTACACCCATGTGCCATTCAATCCAATAGACTTAGCAGCTTTTAAAACACAGGCTGGGGAATTCTCCATGAACCCAAGCCGGTTTATTTCAGTCTTTGAGGGATGCCTCAATAGTCACAAGCCGGATTGGGACAACTGTAATATCCTCCTGAGAACTCTGTTGTCTGAGGTAGAGGGATCAGGTTACAGCTAAGGCAAGGGGAGCATCAGCTTTCAAGCGAAAGAAAGGAAGCTATCTGTCAAGTTCCTACCCCAAGTAATCATA